ATCAACCACTGTGACTGGTTAAGTTCGTGCCTGAAAGTCCTGCTTCAACAAGAAGAGCCTGCCACCCATTAATGCTGCGTGAGTTCCGGTTGTAAGACATCTCATCGATCTCTAAAGAACATTGCTGCAAGGCTGGACAAGGGGGGACGTGGCTGGGAGGGCCTAGGCATTGGCGGCCTCTGAGGAGGTAGCGCTACACACATCACACGCAGATGATGCTGCGGGGTGCAGGCGGAGGGCGTGGCTGCCATGGTGCTGCAGGGCCGCCTAGGCGATCTGCAGCAGGCTGTGGAGGCGGTAGATGGCCCTGCAGGTGGGCGGGACAGGGGGCGGAGCGGGGGCAGGCAGGGCGGTTTTGGGGCACTTGGTATCTAAAAGGTTCGCCATCACTGAGGTGGAGAATTGCACATTTTATACAGGTAGTTCCCGTTTAACGACTGGCCACTTAACAACCATTCAGAGTTACGATGGACTTCAAAATAGATGCTTAACAACTGCTCAAAGTTATGATGGACTTCAAAAAAGCTATTTGTGGCATGTCCGCAAAGTCATGACTGCCGCACGCTACTGGGGTCACATGATTGCATTTTGGGTGCTTGGCAACTGGCTCGCTTTTACAACCGGTTGCAGAGTCCCGCAGTCACATGACCACAATTTGCAACATTTTTTTGCTATTTTCCAGCAGAAAATGGCAAAAAATGCCTGTTGGAAATGCTGGATTTGCTTAATGACTCCCTGATTCACTTAATAATTGTGGCTGACACACTTTATGACTGTTGTAAAACAGTAATAGCAAGTTCAGTCACCTGGTGCCTCGGCTTATGACCGCAATGACTTATGACCAAAATTCTAGGCTCCACTGTGGTTGTGAGTTTAGGACTACCTGTACATCACCCATTCTATTCCTGCCCTTCTTCTGCTGGCACAAGAAAGTAACCATTGCCTGGGGGATCGAGTTCAAGATCAGCTGGACTTTCTTTTTCTTGTGCCGTCTTCCTCTTTGGTGGGTACAGGTATCTGGCCAGAGTTGTGGCTGTGTTGGGAAAACCTTTCCAGCAAGAGCTGTCTAAGAAACATGACTGGAATGGGTAGAGCAGCCACAACAATCAGGCTAATGAGAAGGCCCAAGGCCCATGGTGGGTATTCCAGCTGCTCCTCCTCTGCCTGGAAAGGAAAGGGAGAGGGGAAATTTTAGATGCTTCTCACTTTTACATCAGGCCTCTTCTATACATTCACTGGTTGCCTCAGGAAGAGAATTCAGTGGAAAAAAGCTCTTCTCCACACGCTGCTCCAGAGGTAAGCCATAATATGATGCATTTGTTTGGGCTTAACAGTTGTCATGTGTCTGAGTAACGAAACACTTAAAAGGACTTTCAGGCATGTTTTCTCCTAAAAGCTTTTATTAATGTTAAAGTACATCAGCACGGCATGGAGGAATGCTTAGAACTGATTCTCTTCCATTACGCCTAGCATTCCAGACATTGTCCACTCCCTTATTGTAGGGTCATGGTTCACATCTTCCAATCAACTTGAAAGATGTGATTTACTTCCGGTTTCTTTCTCCTGGGCTATCCTTATGCTCCTCCCTCTTTCCTAGTTGCTGGTTTAACTATATATATACCAGACAGTTCTGCACATTGTCAAAGCAAGAATATACAGTATTTGCAGCGTTGACATCCGGCCCCCCTTGCAAAAAGGACCGATCCTGTACAGTAAACCAAAGCATATGTTAAGGGTTATCTTTCGGTTTGTTGGGGTGTTTCACATGAAACCTTTTGACCAATCTATTAGCCTTTACTTCACTGGATTTCACCCAGGTGGCTTCGGACAATGGGTATCCCTTCCATTGTATTAGATACTGCAATTTCCCTCTAAAAATTCTAGAGTCCAGAATACGCTTTACTTCATAGTGG